AGATCTATCTCACAATATGATAATCGATTGGTTTGCTGCCAGGTGACCTTTTCCATTTTGTTTTTTGTTCTGTGCAGACAATTAACTGAAAACTCAACAAGAATTTGGTTAACGCAACAAAACAGAGAAATTACTGCGTAATTGCCCAAATTGTCCAGCAAAAATTATTAATTTTAATCAATCTCCCATTAAAGCATTTCCAATAATCATAACAAAATCTTGTTTTTTCTTCTGTCTATAGTGGAAACTTAATCAATCCTTGCAACAATAATTACATTGATTTGAGGCTATTAAAATCACAAAAGTGCAAGCAACAATATACTATCCAAAAATGTAGACAGAGCTGAATGGGATTGTCTACAATATACTATCCAAAGATGCCAATGTTGAGGGTATCTGAAATTATGCCAATGTAGACAAAGCTGAATGGGTGGCAGATTTTTTTCTTCAATAGCGATGGCCAATCACACCCTTAAGTATTTCAAGTGACCATCTTTATCATTCACATATTTCTCCACAGCAGCTGCTAATGTGGAAGGTATCTGAAATTATGCAAATATATGAAGATTGTGAGACTTGCAGGAAAGAATTTTCAATATCTAAACTATAAGACATGGGGAGCAAAACCTCTATATCGCTAAAAGTATGCACAGCTTCGTTGGCGTCGGTCGGCGGTGGCGGTGAGTGCCCCGGCCGATTTTGCTTCAAGTGGAGGCTTTTTAGTCGGATGCTTAGGGCAAGAGAAGGAAGAGGCTGCCGGTTGAAATTTGGGGAAAATGAATTTCATGTCATTTTATTTTCATTTGCCTGCCATGCATCATTTTTTAATTTCCAAAGACTGCCACGTAATTTTTTTCAAATTCCTGTAGGTTTTCTGTGAGAAGCTTCATGTACCCATCGCACAATTGATATTCGATTGTTTCTATAAGGTATACCTTACAAAATTTGGTCCATAAATGATAATTCTTACAAAGATTTCTCTTCTGAGAATCAGTAGTTAAGGATGTTCAGAATTGTAACTCTACTTTGCAACAATTGTCTGAACAATCTCTCTAATTCAGCCTCTAAACCTTCAATACTTGCATCAAGATTTTGTAACTTTTCACCTGCCATTTTCACATCAACAACCTTGGAATTACTGTTTCGAATGGCAGCATTAAGGGAATTAAGTGCAAAATCTACACTTCCCACCTCGCTTAAAATACCATCATTTCTATGAGAAGCCACAGATTTTACCTTTGAAACAAGAGACCATCGTCCCATTGATGCTGCAGGCGAAGAGAAGAATACGAGAAGACTTCGAAAAATAGATATTGCGTAATCAGTTGTTTTTCTTAACATCCGAGTCGCCATTGGGAGATTGTGATTATCGGTAAGCGTTGCTCCATTTTTTCTCTCCAAGTGCTTGAGTTTTTTGAGACTTTTGGCTATAGATTTGTTCATTTTCTTTCTGAAGGAGAAGTACTCGTTCATATCCTTTTGGATGCTGGAATCTTGACCCTTGCGTCTTAATGCAGATTGAAGAAATTGAACTTGTTCCTTAACCATCACAACCAATTCTCTGATGGCGCCACAGGAATCCAGCAACTCGACCGAGTTTTTGAGTGATTCTTCCACTATTTTTCCATTTTGATAATGTTGAACGAGTGATTTCTGAGTGGTTGGAGACAGCATCAACTCTTCAACATAGTTATATAATTCTGCAAGCCCTAGAAGCCAAGACTTAATACCTTCTGTGGTTATGCAATCAGATTTTTTCGAAATTTCTCTAGTTTTCAGTTTCTGCAGCTCAACTTCGAGTTTTGTGGCATAGGGATTTAATCTTGAAGGCAAACTAATAGATCTAAAATGATTTTGTGCAGATGAAATTGCCATTTTTCTTTCTTGTTTTCGAGGTTCAAAAGTTGATTTATGTTTTGGGAAATTTGGTAAATCTATTTATAGCAACACAATTTCTTAATGGAATTGATTTTGCATGTGATTACAACGTGAATGCCAATGTTTATATTGCATTGCTCACCATCAATCCGGCATCTTCAATATTTTTATATCAAATTGATGCATGGAAACAATATAGAAAGTTGAACATTAACAAGCGGAGACTAATAGAGTTTTCTATGTTTCTATGTCTCCCTAATCACTAGGTGGATTCCTTCAACCAATTTTAGGCACATTCATTGTATAATTAATCAATTGACTTGAAAAATACGCAATCTGTACTGAAATTGCTCATGATGCTTGCATGCATGGAACAAAGAATTGGTGTTTATTCTAAAACTCTTTTTAAATCTCTCAATAGATACGTCAATCATAGAGCTAAATGAAGAGGAAGGATTGACGTAGTCAGGGACGGATCCAGGATTGGATCCACGACCAGGTTACAAAATTTTAAACCCGGCTACTACGTGGGAAAATTTTTTTTACACATAAAAAACTGATTTTTTACCCAAAAAAAAATAATAAATACCTTAAAAAAAATTCTTGGACCTGAGGGGGGGGGGCTACAGCCCAGCCCAGCCCCCCCTATATCCATCTTTGGACGTAGCAGATCTAATTTTATCGAAAATATTAATTTTTTGTAATTGTTTATTCAGTTCACCCATTCTCTTGTATAAGCCAATACAATGCTATTTGAAATTAAGAACAAAAGAGATGTTAACATATTGTCATTGTCTAACATGAAGCGTTGTCCATGTAGTGTACATTCTCTAGTGTCCCCAAGAATTACCTATCTTAATCAACAGTCTCATAAAATTTTGAATCGAGTTGGCTGTATAGACCACTCACATATGCAAAGGGGTGGGTGAATTTATTTTTAAATAATCACCCACCTCCCACCCGCTCGCCCACCCACCTCGGTATGTGTCCGGTCTGTACAGGCAGCCAAAATTATTCTAAAATTTTTAGACCCTATAAATTTTCAAAATACAAAAATATATTGCCAGCTCTATGTACCTAGCCTAGATTTTTTTTGGTGGGGAAGAAGGTGGGGTTGGTGAAGAGACAGATTTATATGGTAATATTTAGATTCAAATTCAAAATTCTTATTCCAAATACAATTAGGTGGCTCGATTTTTCTTGTCCCCTTTAGATCTCTTTGGTGAACAAATTGAAATCCTATAAGCTACTTTCGCCCATGATAGTTACCAATTTCCAAACCTAGCCAAGGGCTTGGAAAATTTGCAACATCACAACAAATTTCGTCTTAGGCAAAATTTTTGAATGGACTTGTCAACATTAAACAGATTACATGATCATCAACTGTATTATTGCTGGCGATTTCAACAGTTAAAAAAGGGGAAAAAAAATTATACATTGAGCATTGACTGAACCGGAACTAATTAACTGATTTTTAGTGTAAAGTACGGAATTTTTTATTTTATTTTTTTCATTGCACCGATATCGTATGGACAGAACCACCCGATTCTAGTTCGATTTCAGCTGGTACCGGTGAATTTTACCCACACGGCCTATGTATATATATAATACTAAACGATTTTATTGCGGCAAACTATCATCCACTGGGATTGGAATGTGTTTTCTTTTTTATTTTTCCGTTCCTGTCCTTTAATCTTTCTTTTGTATTTATATTTATTCAAGATTGAAGTCTTTGTCTATTTTACTTCTCCAAAGGTTATATATGCGTGTAGCTTTTTAAGGATGCACAGATAGATACATTCAATGTGCTACAAACTAGAAAGGTTGAGTAACATATTTTTGCGAAAAAAATCAGATCATATTCTAGGTAAAATTCCAATGTCTCAAGTTCCTATCGTATTCAAATTAACATTTACAATTGCATCAAGTAGATAACATTATTCTCAATTCAACTCATTGATTATAATATAGGAGAGATATTGTAACTTAGAAAGATTTTAAATTTCATCTAAAAGGTCAATTGCGTTAAAAAAAAAAAAAAAAAAAAGTAAAACTCTTTAAAATTGAATATAAGAAGCTTGTAAGAGTTGGGAGGAATCATCCAGCAGAGTAGGTCTTAGGTTAAGGGGGCATTTAATGCAACAATTAATGTTTTCTTAAAAGTAAGGTTAGAAACAATTTATTGGAAGAAGTGACATTGGAAGGTGTTTTCTATCAAATGAAGCTAGTTACTTAGGATGTCTTCATTCGATAGACGTGGCACGCTGACCTTGATAGGTTGGTTCCTAAGGCACATCGCATGAAGTGATCAATCACCACGACATGGTCCCACTTCGACTAGGTGGATGGTGATGTGAAGTGTACTGTTTCACGAATCAGTAATTTTTGTAATTTTTTACTTGCCATTTGCACATCAACAGCCTTGGAATTACGGTTTCTGAGGGCAGCAACAAGGGAATTAAGAGCAAAATTTACACTTCCCACCTCGCTTAAAATATCATCATTTCTATGAGAAGCCACAGACTTTAGCTTAGAAACAAAAGACCATCCCCCCTTTGAAGCTGCAGGTGAAGGCAAGAATACCAGAAGACTACAAAAAATAGTTATTGCATAATTTGTTGCTTCTCTTAACATCCCAATCGCCATTGATAGATTGTGATTATCTTTAAGTGTTGCTCCATTTGTTCTCTCCAGGTGCTCAAGTTTTTTAAGAATTTTGGCTATAGATTTGTTCATTTTATTTCTGAGGGAAAGGTACTTGTTCACATCATTTTGGATGCTGGAATCTTGACCCTTGCGCCTTCATGTAGATTGAAGATCTTGAACTTGTTCCTTGATCATCCCAACCAATTATCTGATGGTGCCACAAGAATCTAGCAACTCTACCGAGTTTTCTAGGGATTCTTCCACTATTTTCCCATCTTGAACATGTTGAACAAGTGATTGTTGAGTTCTTTGACACTGCATTAACTCTTCAACACAGTTATATAATTCTGCAAGCCCTAGAAGCCCATATCGAATACCTTCGGTGGTTATACTATGAGCTTTTTTTGAAATTTCTCCGGTGTATAGCTTTTCCAGCTCAGCTTCAAGTTTTATGGCATTGGGATGTAATCTTGAAGGCAAACTAATGGACCTAAAATGATTTTGTGCAGATGAAATTGCCAGTTTTCTTGCTTGATTTTGCTAAGACCAAAAGCTGCTTTATGTTTGTGGGAAATTTAGTAAACCTGTTCATAGTAACACGATTTCTTAATGGAATCCATTGCTTTGTAGTTACTGTGTTATAATTGTTTTTGTTGCTACTGTTCACCATCAAACCAGGACCTTGAGTATTTTTTATTTTACTCTTGTGGCAATAAGAAATTGTGTTACTATAAATATAAAATTGTGTTTCTATAAATATAGAAATTGCATGTGATTGAAATGTCAGTGGCATTATTTTTGTAGTTGTTTTTGCTGCCGCTTGTTAAAATTTGGGTGTGACCCGGATTTTTTGATGAATATAATTGAGAGTTCTAATTAAAGTGCACATTGAGAATATTAAGCCAAGAAACCAAAAATACACAAAGTATACCAAGATTTCACTGTGAAATGCAGATCAAACATTTGACACAAGATTTCATCGACTATTGGGCTCAGAAAATTCATTGTACCCTTTTGCACAATTGTAAAGCACCAAAGAATAAACACCTAAACCCACTAAGGAAACTAGACACAGCTACTTCGACGAGACAGTAAGGAAAACCCCAAAATAGATATCATTCATTTCTCCTCTCAAAGAATCACTTAGATTCACTCAATCACAATGGAAAAATAACCCCAAATCATAGAAGACTTCAAGGGGAACATGAAGAAGACGAAGGAGAAAGCAACCAGAAAGTTTGGGTTCTAGAGAGTTCAAGAGACGGAAGAAAATGAAGTGAATCCGCTAGGGCAACCCAAGAGACATGTATTTATACAAAAGCTTGTCCATCATTGATATCAACTTGAAGATCCAACGTCCCGGAGTAGCACACGTGACCTATAGTTTGGGCTCGGGTTCTTGGGCTTCAACAATTGTGTTATGGGGCAATGGAGTGTATAATCTATTGTTTGGGCCTAACCCAATTTCATCATAGCTCACTGTTTGAGTTATAATTCCAAAATTGGCATCACAACTCAAACAATCTCCACCTTGATGCCAGTGACTCAAACAGTATCCAAAATTCAAGAAAAATAACAATTCCAGCACATCCTTTATTTAGATTCCATAGCTCACAGCACCAAGGTGGGCACACTAGCACTTGCAATTCATAAAGAATCACCCAACATCAATTTTTAGAATTTTCAAACAAGATTTAAACTTGTTAAGAAGAAGTATCTTGGTTCCATATCAGTTGGATTGAACTCAGTAGGTATTTTTTCAAGTACAACAAAATTCTTGTGAATAATATCATGAATAAAATGAATCCTAACATTTATATGCTTTGTCCTTTCATAAAAAACAAGATTTTTGCACAAATGAATGACACTTTGACTATCTGAGTACATAACTACTGGGTGTGAAAGAACGTTCAATTCATATAACAAACCTTTAAGCCAAAATGCTTCTTTTATGACTTCGGTGGCAACCACATATTCTGCTTTAGTGGTTGATAATGCAACAGTAGGTTGTAATTGTGATTTTCATCTCTCACAAGTGCCACACAAAGTAAACATGTAAGAGGTAGTTGATTTTCTATTGTCCCTGTCCCCCACATAATTAGAATCAACAAAACCCTTTAACACAATACCTTTCTTACAAGGATTAAAACATAAACCCAAGATCGAGGACCCCTTTAAATATCTAAGTAATCATTTTAAGGCAGTCCAGTGTTCAGGGTTGGGATTAACCATAAATTTACTTAAAGTACTGATAGCATGAGCAACATTAGGTCTGGTACATACCATAGTATATATAGCAGACCCCACAACATTAGCATAAGAGACTTTTTGCATATATTTTATATCAAATTCATCAACAGGG